GAGTACATGAAGGATTGGCGTTATAACTCGCTATTTATCCAGTTTGCATCAGTCTATGTCTTTATAGGACCTAATGATTATCTGAGTTGTAGCTGTCTCTTTATCAGTTTCATGTACATAGTGCATTTTCAGTGATTGTACAACCATCAGGCATTAATAGATGATGAAATATGGAGTAAGCTTCAGCAGCTCAGGTCTAGAGATTGATTGCTAAAGAGAATTCAAACTTTCTCTGCTTCACGAGCTCGTCATCCCACATAATTGTGCTTAAATGTAGGATTTACTGTGAGAAGGCAGAGCAGCACCGCACTCTCCCAGAATGTATATTTTTCCACTTGTGTCAGCACAGAGAAGCTGAAGAGAAACCTGAGCTCTCTTTGGCCAGGCTGCTTTATTTAGTTGTTTTTTTTTTTAACTACTACGTCGGGATCCTGCAACTTCAAGAGCCTCTTTAACTTGGCAAGTAGATCTGATACATACTGTACAAGCTGAGATGCTTCAAAGAGCGATCATAGCCTTGTTGGCTTTGTGCAAGGCTGAGACAACAGTGTGGGGAAAACTACCCGGCGCAGTTGCACAATCCTCAAACATGAGGTGAATCTGAAATAGTCTTCCCCAGCAGGATAGAACCACAGAAGCGAATTTTAGCTTGTTTTATGAACTCGTCGCCTAACAGTCTGCTTATATCTACATCATGTGTGGGTCACAAAACAGGTTTTGTGCGCTGAAATAAAAAAACAAAACTAATGGTCCTAGTGCAGTTTTATTACAGCAATTTACTGTTAATATAAGTGCCTGAAAGTTAGACAGACTGTAATAGTCAAATTTTTCAAAGAAGCTTTCTTGTCATAATAGAAATAAAAGGTTTAAGAGTGAGCCTATGTGCACAACAGCGAAGCCTTGAACCTAAAACAGCTACATTGAATTCACCCACCATTAATGTCATTATATTGTTGCTTTTCCCATTGTGGTGCTCCCAAAAGGGTATATTGTTTGCAAGTTGCTTGCAGATCTACCTGAAAGCAGGACTGACGAAAAGAAAAACCCCTTCACTTTGGATCAAACACCACATGCAGTCACTGGCCACTTTATTAGGTACACATTGCTTGCACTGGGTTAAATCCCCATTTACATTTAGAGTTGCCTTAATTCTTTTTGGCATGGATTCCCTAATATTTTGGTCCATACTGACACGTGTCAATGTGAATCTCCTGTTCCACCACATGCCATATGAGCTCTGTTGGATTGATTTAGTGACTGGAGGCCGTTCGACTACATTGAACTCGTTGTGTTCAAGAAACCAGTTTGAGATGATTTGAGTTTTGTGACATGGTTAACCTGCTAAAAGCAGCCATCAGATGATGGGTGCACTGTGGTCACAAAGGGATAGACCTGGTCAGCAACAGTACTCAGGCAGGCTGTGGGATATAAATGATGTTCAGCTAGGACTGAGAGCCCAAAGTGTGCGAAAAATATCCATCACACCATTACACCACAACCTTTGATGGCAGTATGGATTCATGCTTTCATGTTGTGATGCTGCCAAATTCTGACCCTACTATCAGACCAGGGAGCGTTTTTCAAATCTTCTGTTGTCCAGTTTTGGGGAGCACATTTGATCTGTAGGTTCAGTTTCCTGTTTTTAGCTGTCAGGAGTGACACAAGCTGTGGTCTTCTACTGCTGCAACTCATCTGGTTTTATGTGTTATAGATTCATAGATGCTCTTTTGCATAACTTAGTTGTTAAGAGTGGTTATTGGAGTTACTCTTGCTCGAAGCAGTTTCGGCAGCAAGCAGCAGGATAGATGCACTTATTCTTCTGCAGGTACCCCTTATTCTCCTGGTTGCTGAATGTAGTTCTTTATACATCCAACTATATCAAAGGATTATGTCTCTTTTTCTTTTTTTTCTTTTCTTTTTTTTTTTACATTTTTGAGGTCAGAATTAGGAGGATTTGGGAAGGGAAAGATCTGTAATGAATAGTGGTGAATGTTGAACCACATTCATCAAAGACATTAATATTTAAGTGAGAAGATTTCATTTGTTTTGGGAGAGAAAGGGGAAACCGCCTCATTTGAATTTTTTTTTTTACTAAACTATCCACTAAAAGAGGGAAAAGGAGCGACTCAGGAACAAACTGATTCAATAAAAAAGTTTGGGAAGGTTGTGCGAGGGTGGCTGAAGGGAGTTGACTTTCCTGATTAAATATCCACTTTGATTTAATTATAGTGTTGTGTAGCTATCAGAGTGATTGCTGTCAGCCCTGAGTCATTATTCAGTGGTCTCATTATTAAGCAAACAAAAGCATCTTCAGGCTTTATGGAGTACCACAGACGATTTACTTGCTTAGCTGAACGATAACGTTTATTAATACATAAAAAATCTCTGTGACGTGTGTTGAACACATATCCCCTGTCGTGAAGGATCGATGATGCTTCTTAGTGAGGGAAATGAGGGTACGCCGCCACAACAAACACCTAAGCGAAATGGAGGCAACAGCTTGACCATTTTGGTGAAATCCACAAAATATCTCATAAATCACTCACAGGTGCGGCTGTCAGCAGAAACTGCTGAGGATGCAGAGATCAATATGCAGACAAATCCTCCCTGAGTTAACTGTTCTTTTGTCATGGCATCACATCGTCTGCCAATTCAGCACAAGGAGCCTGTTGAGTTGGGGGTTTTTTTTTTTAAATTCTGAATTTGTACTTTTTGAGCAACAGTAAGCACATTTTTCCCTTTCCCGCCTAAGTACGCTTATCCTCTGCCTCACTCTCCCATGGGTGTGTGAGCCACTGCTCTGCCCATTTTAAATCAGCGGAGCATCAAACACACGCAGAGTACACCTAACAGCCTCAGACGGCCATCAGTGTTATGAGAATTGACAGACGTACACAGATAATCCAACCGTCGCAGAAGGTCAAACTAATTTATTTGATGTAGTCATTTTTGTTCCTAGTTTTCAGGATCAGTGTAGATGTCTGTTGCATAGATGTGATTGGAATGATGAAATGGGCAGTACAAGGAAGGGGGGGGAAAGGTTCTGATTCATGCACAAATACTGTATTTATATTAACAGAGTCATTTTCAGTCACTGGCATGGTTCAGTAGGAGTTAGTAACTCCAAATATTTAGATGTGGTTCTGCACTGGAGCGTTTTATGTTGGATATAATTTAGTCTGGACTCCACAGGACTCTGGTGTTAGGCAGCATATTGCTGTTGCATATTTCAGTGAAGATGAACAGCAAATGGAGCCGGGACCGCTCCATCAACTCATTTCATTGGCAGACAGCACTGCCACATTACCTCCATATCCTGTGGTGGCCCACATAACAGGAGTTGTCCAATCCAGACTGTTGCGTGAGGCTGCTGCGCAGAAAGCCAGCTGGAGACCAAAGGCCCTCGGGGAAATTACTGCCAGATTGCTTGGAAAGAGGCAAAATTGGACTGCTTATTTGTCAGTGAAGGGTCTGTGTGGTGGACACAGCCGAAATTGAAAAGACAGGGAGAGAGATTAGGTAGCCTGTTGACTACACGAGTCTGTGCTACCTACTGGCGTCTTTAAACTTTGGTGATTACTCAGTAAGAAATATGTTTAAAAGCTGGGAAGTGCAATTATAATTTCAGATGACATTTTTTTTCTACGTGACTTTAATGATGATGAAGCCCCATAACAGTCTAGTCTGTGCAGTGGGATAATTTCAACATACCAGAAAGCTAAGGGTCAATTCTTTGAATGGAACATTTTCTCACTGGTTCAATAAAAGGAAAGGTTGATCTGGGCTTTTTAATATGGTGTGTTATTCTGCTAGAAGCAGCCATCAGAAGAGCGGTACACTCTGGCCACAAAGGGATGGACATCAGCAGCAATGCTCAGGCAGATTTTGGTTTTTAATTCAATTCAATTCAATTTTATTTATATAGCGCCAAATCACAACAAAAGTTGACTCAAGGCGCTTCAAAATGATGATAAATGATGCTCGGCTGGAACCAAGTGCACACAGTGGACCAGTGTGCAGGGAAACATCCCTCACACCATTACCCCACCACCACCACCAGCAGCAGCCTTAAACATTGATGCATGTCAGTATGGATTTGTATTTTCATGTTGTTTAAACCTAATTCTGACCCTTCCATCTGAGTTTGCAAAATTTGAGATTCATCAGAGCAAGCAAGTCTTCTGTTGTCCAATTCTGGTGAGCAACCTATAGCTTCAAGTTTCCTGTTCTTAACTGACAGAAGTGGCACTCAGTGTGGTGCACATGTTCTGTGTTCAGAGATGCTCTTCTGCATACGTTGGTTGCAACACTGTATGCGGAGGAGCTACTTATGGCTTTCTATCAGCTCAAAACAGTCTAGATATTCTCTCTGACATCTGGCCTCAACAAGGCATTCTCACCCAGGGAACAGCTGGATACTATCTCAGAGTTTTGAAACCTGCAAAATGCACTTGTGATATTGTATAGATGCATGCCTTTACACTATAAAATAGATGATTCAGTAAATACCACATCTATTTGTGACCATGCACTCTGTGTCTTACTTTAGTAAAACCCTGTGTGATATGGGCTGCTGGTGGGTTCTAGTTTCAGTTTCATAGCCGTGCAAGCCGCATGGTCACATCACAGTAACTCAGATCTTAGCTGAGCACAGAGAAGCTTTCCACCTTGCAGAAGAGCAACAGTGAGCCAAACTGTGCTTGTAAATCATTGTGCACAGCGAGGTTCAAATGTGCAGATTTCTGAGTGAAAAGGTATTTAGACTACAGCGCACTATCTCCAATAACAACCATTTATATCTTTATAATCAGAATTTAAGTTGTTATCAGTGTTTAGGGAAACTGTTTCTTTTAGAGTGCTCACTAGATGTCGCTGTTATCCCACCCCTCTCGCGCAAAGTGACCACACTGATCACTGCGAGCGGTGCCAAAAATTATGGCATCAAACAATATAAGAATTTTCTAAGAAAGCGCGAGGGTTTGAATGTGACCCTGGCAAATATAAGGTTCGGGCAGTGGTGCAGTTTGGTGTTTAGATGGCTTTTAGTCAGGTCTAGCTCACTGATAAAAACCGACCCATTAATAGACCATTATAGGACAACTTGGAGTCAAATCGCACAATCATAACCGCGACTCCACTGGGAGAATCACGGAAAGGTGCTGTCGGCTTGTTCTTGGAAGACTGGGTGTTTTTGAGCTGAATCACGGCAGAGGCGCGTCACCGTAGGGCGTGGTTAAGCGTAAGAGATAAACGCCGTGTCCACCGTTACGATGCAGTTAAGTTACAGTTTGGCACGAGACGATACACCGGAGCGGAGAGTCTGAGCAGCTAACCAGCGCGCGTAAAGGGATGGAGACGAATGAGATCTTTTTAATAACTGTCATAGCCTCTCACTACATTTGGAACTTCGTCTTCTTCGCGTGGATTTTAACAACAATAGAACCTTTAGAGCCGGACTGCTATAAAACGCATTGTTGAAGTTCTGATCCTGTTTGCGCCAGGACACCCAAACGAGATTAGACGAAGAGAAGTCGTAATGAGTAGTTGTGCAAATGGTGCATTTTCTGACCAGAGAGCTGGTACGGAAAGCAGAATTTCATGCTCAAGCTACACGTCTACCTGCGCGTAAAGGACATGGACACAACGGCTCCAGTCACCGCTTCCTGAATCCCTGCGCCATGTTTTAGTAAGTAAATGAAAAAGCTGTAGTTAGATTAGAAGCAGTGTGGCAGCTTAAAGCATTTATGCGAGCTTTTTTTCTTATTTTTACGCGCTGACAAATAGTGCAGCGCTCCAATAGCACAGGACCTGAAATTTGGCAGCCAAGCAGCCCACACCATTGACCGTGAAAGGCTTGGAAACAGTTCCAGTGCTGATCCCGATTTGAACTATAACTAAAACAAGTTAAAACAAGTAAAACAAAGTTGCATCTAAGTGGACGAGCGTGGCAGGAGGCGAACATGGCTTTGCCAGATAGTGGCATATCTGCAGAGGAGATACCCTTTCCAGAGATCATAGAGCTCAATGTCGGTGGGCAGGTGTACATAACCCGCTACTCTACACTCACAAGCGTGCCAGACTCTCTGCTGTGGGAGATGTTTACTCAAAAGTCAGCCAAAGGACTGGCCAGGGACACAAAGGGGCGCTTCTTTGTAGACCGTGATGGTTTCCTGTTTCGTTACATCCTGGACTACATGCGTGACCAGCAGCTGGTCCTTCCAGACCACTTCCCAGAGCGCGGTCGTTTGCAGAGAGAGGCTGAGTTCTTCAACCTGCCAGAGCTCGTCAGGCTTCTGGCACCCAAAATCAGCAAACAGAACTCCCTTGGTGATGAGGGATGTCCTAGTGACACAGAGGACTCCTCACCTGGGACTGACACCTCCCGTAACCTCGGCTCTCTGGGTGCTGCTGCTGCTGCCTGTGCCAGCCTGGTGCCCGGCGCCATGGATGGCAAACGTTCTGGGTTCATCACTATTGGCTACCGAGGCTCCTACACCTTGGGGCGCGACAGCCACACGGATGCCAAATTTCGCCGAGTGGCACGGATCATGGTGTGTGGGAAGACCTCCCTGGCTAAAGAGGTGTTTGGGGAAACGCTGAACGAGAGCCGGGACCCGGATCGCCCCCCTGAGCGCTATACATCCCGCTACTATCTCAAGTTCACCTTCCTGGAGCAGGCTTTTGACAAGCTGGCAGATGCAGGCTTTCACATGGTGGCCTGCAATTCCACAGGAACCTGTGCCTTTGCCCACGAGCAGACGGACGACAAGATCTGGACCAGCTACACTGAATATGTGTTCTACCGTGAGTGAGACTATCGGCTTTGTTTCCCCGGTCCCCTCACCCTGTATCCAAGAACCCCCCTCCCCCTCCAGCCTCCAGCCATCCTGTCTTTCTCTCTCTGATGGCTTCTGAACCAGTAGATGTACTGTAGATGTTGTGCCCTTCCATCTCTCTTTACAGCCTCCAGCTTTTATCCTGTGAACAGTACCTGGCCGCTGCTCTGACTCTTCATACCTTCTCTGCAGATCGAACCTGCAGCCTTCCCCTTCAACCCCGAATTCACCCTCCCCCCCCAATCATCAGGCCAAGCTTTTGCCCTTGCTTAAGCCGCCGCCTCTCCATCTAGTTGTAGTCCCCAGCCCTGAACCACAGCAACCCCACAGCCTTTCCTGCAGAGACTGATACCTTCTATTCCCTTTTTGTACTCTCTATATAGTGCATATGCCTTGGTTAAAGCACAATACTGTATCCAAGAGCTAATTTTGTTGAATAAAAAACACCAGTGTGTCTATATGACTACTGAACCAGTCATAAGGGCATAAGGGAAAGGGCTTCAAAGAGTTGCCGTGATGTACAGTGCTATATTTTGCCTGCTTACTCAAGCAGATCGGACTGTCTCCTGCTCCTTTGAACTAAATTACCAAATAATTGGACATCTTATCAGCCTTGAGGGACGTGAGAAACCCCAACACATGCACACACATACACACACACACACGCACACAAAGGAAGTGTAATCTAATTTCCTTTAGTTTTTATTAAATGTGTCCAGTACCATGTCCGTGTGGTTTGGGAACGTGCCATAGTTAATCTGTTCTACTGCTTTGGAGTGAATAGAAAAGAAAAGACTGCAGTGAAGTTATTTTTTCAGAAAAAGCAGATTGAAGTTGTGCGGAGGTCTCCCCCCCCCCCAAAAAAAAGAAAGAAAGAAAGAAAACGGGTTGTGTGGCAAATGTTGAAAAACTATTAAAGCTCAAATATCAAGAGATCTTAGAGACAGACAACGAGAGAGGGGGGAAAAGGTGTGTGTATTGACTGTGCAGTGGAGCTTTCAGTATTTTAATCACCCACACTGATAGGGCAGAGAAGATGGAAGGTGTTGCATCAATTACATCTTAAAGATAATTATTTTCCACAGCCGGTCACATGTCAGAATGGGCTTACACATTGCTTCCTGTTATTTGCGTAAGAAGAAATCAGCAGTCATCACAGCAGATCTTTGGATGTCCCGTAATCAACAATGTTATTCTTAATAACATGAAAAAGAGGTTTTTAATCTCAATGGGATCTTCCTGGTTAAATAAAGGTTAATAAATAATACTCAGTATTAGCTGAAGCGGCTGCGTATTTGACTATAGCTCACTCCTTCTGTACCAGTGAGAAAGGGTAGGATTTGCTGTAGCCAGCCAAAGCCCAGTGTTTTCTCACCACTGTAGCAATGGCAGCTTATAGCGAGCGCGCGTAACTTTCAGTAACTCACAGCCGGCTCAAAAAGGAGCACAAGATCCAGATACAGCCTCAGGACGGGTCTGCACATCATATACCTCAGACTAACATAAACGTGGGACACTTAAATCCAACAAAGGATTCATCAGATTACAGGAAAATGCAGAAATGGCTCAAAATGAGGACAAATAAGAGGTTTCATTTAAAACTGTTCGGGGAACAGGCAGCGCAAGGCAAAGTTCACCCGTGCGGCAAGGTGTCGACTTTTTAGTGTGTCTGACAGTTGTAATAAATGTATTCTGAAATGTCTAGAAATTGCAATATTGTGTTTCAGTGTGATGAAGTGTTGTTGACATCCGAGTCAGTCTGTTAGACCCTGCTGCAGTGTGTCGCTGCAGGCATAGACAACACTGATATTAAAAGTGTTCCACCAAACGCAAATTGATTTGTCAAATAAAATATGCTTTCTTTCTATCCTGCTTGTATTTCCATTCCTAACCCCCAAAAAGGGGGGTTATTTCTTTTTTTCTTTTTGAATACCAGGGAGCACAAAGTATGATGAAAATAGCACATTCCCATTACCGCAGTTTCATATTTAAATTTTCGGTGACAATGCAAGTCAATCACAAGTAAAGCCGTTCAAATTTTCATCTCAGCGTTTCCCATCAGAGGAAATGTCCTTGGACACAAACTCTCCTCCGTATGAAATTTTCAGCCCTCAGGCACCATGTCCTCCATCCTTCCATCTGCTTTTCCACTTTTTTTTTTTACCCTCTTTTTTTCTCTTCAGCCTGGACTTGCGTGAAGCATTTGACCAAAAAATCTGAGCCAGGATAGAAACGAGGACATGCACAGATAACAGGCCTTGTCCAAGCAGATTAGAAAACCCTTATTTTGTTGCCAATAATTGACCTAATTTCTGTGTGCAGTCAAAATCTTAAAGATTGAATCTAAATTTCAGGACTCCGTAGTATTTACAACCTCCCGCAGAGCAACAGTTTATCCATTTCTGAGAGACTAGAAATCATTTTTGTGTGTCATCAATAAAAAACAACAGCAAAATACAATATAAGTACAAAGTATTTTCATTGAGGGCAAAGGTGTCATAATTTACACTCGAACAACAACCAGACTTAAGGGTTATGTATGTGAGGCAGTCACGTGTCTTTTTATAAACTCTGTCTCAGAAGTTCTCTACCGAGCGATTATCTCATGCTAATTATCTTAGTATAAGACCTCTAAACCTGATCTCACTCTGGCCTTGATAAAAGCATAGCTAATGAGCTTCACAAAACTTTGTGAAAAATTTATGTTGCTCTCTAATTCAGGGAGAAAAAAAATGATCCCCCCCGCCCGCTCTGGAATGCATGACAAATCCTCAGAGACCAGGACAATACTGTGCCTGCAGTGTCTCTCCAGCCCAAATAAACACAGTCACAGGCAGCATTCCTCTGTCGCTGTCCTCCGGCGGACTACAGCAACACGGGAGTGCCAAGGTCAGTCATTAGCGCAAACATGGAGAAACATGCCTTCGTGTGAAATTTCAGGCACTGGCCTCCTTAACCTCTCCTCCTCTCGTCAGCGCAAATTCCTTGAGATTCAACAGCAGCAGCGAGATGCGTGGAAACGTTGACATTCAGACGCTGACATTCAGAGCATCCACAGACCAGACGAAATGTGCGCGCTGAAATTCAGTGGTGTTTTTTTTCTTTTTTTTTTAAATGTGTCTTGTGAAACACGTGGTTGAAAAGTGTAGCATTGTCTGCTCGTGTGCTTGCAAAGGCAGCAGGTTCTCACTGTGTCGCCACAGTATGCCTATTCATATTCAGAGTGTCACAATAAAGATATTTTACCATGACCTTTTGCTTCTTCATGTTTTGTGGGGGGGAACGCAGCAGATTGCCAAATTTCAGCTTGTCACACAACAAATTATCAAATGAAATCAATCATTTGTTGTTGTTTCAAGCGCAGATTTTCACATTTATGAGGACTCATTTGTCACTAAAGTCGAAGGATTCGAGAATGAGTGCGAGACTGGCTTCTCTGCGTGCCTTCAGGCAGTGATTTGACCCAAGCTTTTGCTACTGTAGGCTGCTCTACATGACAACATGCTTTGGCCCTGTCTCTTTTCCCTCTCTGAGGATGATCCTTGTCTCGGAGCCAGCTGGGTCATTGCATTCTCTATTTGGAAAAAGAGGGGAAGAAGGCAGAAGAGAACAGGAACAGATGCACGTCAAAGGAAATGGGGATTGGAAAATGGGGCACAGAGAGATAGATATTTGGGAGACTGCGGGGGTATTTATTTGACAAGGATTCGGTGTTCCCATCTGATCTCTCTTCCTGTTATTTGGAGAAGGGGAGGACTGTGCTGTAAGATGCTCCTCTGCGGCCTGTCAGCTCCATCAGCACCCCCAAAGAGATTCAGTCACACTGCACCCAAGGGATACACTGCAGAATCAAGAGCACACTCAGTATAGTTGCTATCACTATCAATCTGTAGCATGAAACCAGCACAAATGGGGGGTTGTTGATCTTTACCATAAGGAAGAAACAGTATTTTTTATCATCTGTTTGTGATTCATGAACTTCACCATTAAGCTGACTAAACTTAGCCAAGATTCCTAGACTACATCTTTCTTTTTCGGGGAGAGACATATTGCATGTGTGAGAGTGACAAGACAAGGGTGAGTCAATTTCTCAGCACCTCAGATGTCTGAAAGCTGCTGTTCCTGTTCATTCTGAGCCTTCAGCTGCAGCCATGTGGCTGTACTTGTTTATGTATCACTGCCTCGTCTGCTTTTGGATCTGTCTGCCAGGATAATTTGGCTCTTGTTGTTTTGTTCTGTTGCCTTTACGCTTGTGTGGTTTTTTTTTTTTTTTGGTTTTTTTTTGGATGACAGGTTGGACAGGCCTCCGTTTCGGGTGCGTCAGTGCGACTGAGGTCCACTCCCTCTCACACAAACATGCTGAGCGTGCAGTTGGCATCTCTAAACGCACGCTCACACGGACACGCGCGCTCGCGGGGAGAGGGAAGTTGCAACGAGAAGATGTGCAACACAACTCCCGTGCTGGGATTTTGATTCTGGGCCGTGAGGTTTTAGATCTAATCGACTGCCTTGTTTTCACTCTTCTTTGAGAACAGTTTAAAATGCATTAGCAGGCAAATAAGGCATTTACCTCCCTCCTCCTCTCTTGATGGCAATTAAAACAAAGAGAAGAACATGCTCATATAGAACAACATCATTGCTGATAATTACCTTGGAGTAGCACTGACCAACCTGGGCGGGGGGTAGCAGCGGCCTGAGGTGCACCGCTGTGTTCTCCATCAAAATGTCTGTGTGTGTGTGTTCACCCCTTGTTTGCTATTGCTGCCATGCAAGCCAACATTTAGGGAGTACAGTAACACTGGCTTGGGACTTCTTGGTCTCATTGTGTGTGTGTTGGGCTATTTATAGTGAGTCAGGCACCGAGCCAGATGTGTACCTTATTCACTTGTATCGCTCTGTCCTCCAGCTTCTCCACATGCCTGGCTTCCCCTCATTCTCAGCTCCTACAGAGAGCAGCTGTCACAAAACATTTTCACCCCGAATGACAAGGGAAGGGGGGGGGGGACAGGAGGGACTTCATTGTGCTAGGACAGGAGATGGTCACGTCAGGGGGGAAGCGACAACCTGGAATCACTACTGATTTACAGTGCTGTTATCTCATTACTCTCCCTGCATTGCCAGTTTGTTTTTCCCTTTGTCGGCGCAATTCTCCAACACGGAAATGGCGGCTCTGTGCAGGCACTGAGCAAGAGCATGAGTGGAATGAAGAAGCACGATATAAGTTGTATAGTAAGTGAAAGTGTCAACGGGGAAATTGTAGGATAAGTGTAAGCAACAAAAAGGAAGAACTGAAGTGGCAAAGCTTGGCATATACAGTCCCACGGAGACTATAAATATGTGACGAGGCAGGAGCAATTTTAAAAGAAAAGAGGCACAATTAGGCCAAAATGGAGATGTAATAGATTGGGAAAGGCAGGGTGGAAGCTGCCTCAATTGGCATGTTAAAAGAAATGCAATGATTCTATTTTACGTAAAACTTGACAAATTAAAGGGAAGTACTTCTTGGCATTCATTCTCCAAGGGTCTGTAACTTCCCTGGAAAAAATCAACACAGTTAAATCAAAAGATATTCCCTCATTTTGTGTTTTGATGGCGCTGGTGGACAGTGCTAACACTTGGTACAAAATCTCCCGTAGGTGTTTAATTATTTTGAGCTCTGCTGACTGTGAAGCATATAATTCATATCATTTTCATTCTCATCAAAACAGTGAACCCGCATGCCCTATAGACGGGGGGAGTTGTCATTCTGGGAAAGAAGACTGCCATCATGATAGAAACTTTTAATGATAGGATAATAATGATCGCGCAGAAAAACTTTGTACAGATTTGTAATGACACGTTCCTCTCGGGGGGCAAACCACACCAGTAAAATGTCTAGTTCAGCACAATAGAGCCACCAAATGCTTTCACTCCAGAGGCCATTGCGTCAGCTGTTTCCTTGATGTGTCTGTCACAGTCTGGCGAGGGCAGACTGTATGAATTGAAAAAAAGGACCCAAAATGCAGACTCCAAGGAACAGGGAACAAAACGTGAATGTTAACAAGAAGTGAGCCATTTAATATGGCTGGTAGAAAAGGTACAAACAAGGGGCAAGGCAAACTGAAGCAAAATTAACACAAACCTAAACTGGGGAATCTAAACAAACAATAAGAAAAACCTAGACAAGAAACTTGGAAGCATGGCATGAACAACAGACGACCTGACAATCACACACTGAAAATAGAGGACTTAAATACACAGCAGGTGATTAGGGGAAGTGGGAACACATGGAGGAACAGCTGACTGACATGAGCCTAATGACAGGACAAGGGAAGTGAAACTAAATACAATGAACAAAGAACACACGACTCCTTCAAAATAAAACAGGAAACATGAGACAGACATGATAATACAAACTTGATAACATAAGACATGCAGCATGAAACACGAAGGTTGAGGGGAAACTTAAATACAGGGGAAGAAAACACAAGGAGTCTAATAACCAAATGAACTTAGATAACCTAATGAACAAAATAAACTCAAACTTAAAACGCTGGGTCAAGAGACCCAGGACCATGACAGTGTCACCAAGAGCCACGTTGGGTAACAACTGCCATTATCGTGTCCTGTGGTTTTTTAATCAGATACTAACAAAATGCTGATTTAACTCTAATTATTAGAGTTATTAATAATACTTATTAATGGCCCATTAATACTTATTAATGGGCCATTTTAACTCTAGTAGCCACCGCAGGTACTCCTGTACAGTTACACCTTGCTAGAAACCACTTTAAGCTGATGTGAGCTTTGGGAACCAGCCTGAACCATTGATATACAAGGCAGGACAGATCCATGCTTTCATGCCAATTACACCAAATTCCGAGACTCATCAAACCAGGCAATGTTTTTCCATGGTCCAATTTTGTTGAGCCTGTGCTTTAAGGCTGTGTTGTGCATTCAGCCATGCTCTTCTGCATACCTTAGTTATGACAAGTGGTTATGCTGTTGCTGCGCTTAACCTCAAAGCAGTCTGGCCAATCTTCTCTGGCATTTTCGCCCAGTGAAGTGCTGCTCGCTGGATATATCTCTTTAAAAGTCAACAGAGAGTAAAGAGCAATATAGAGCTGTATTATGTTTCTCTACTGATATCTCTAGAATTTGTTCTTATTCTGTAATAAATTCAGGTGTATTAACCCCACCCTTTATAAATACATTTATTATAAAGGCTATATGACAGTGTTTTTAAAGTTTTATATTGCATGTTGGTAATCGGGCTTAGTTTATCCATTTTGAGGAATAAAATGATCTATTCCAATGTTCCTATGCAAACAAATATCTCTCAACAATGAATTATTCAAATTTGTTGAATTTGATTTTCATGCCATCCATTAATGACAGAACTGGAAAAAACATGCGACTGAGCGTTTCTGTGTCTGTGCTGGTCTAAAGGAGCTCACAGTGTCTGTGAGTGCTGTCATTAGAATAGGATTCACCTTGGCCATCTGGAGACTTGGGCTCTAATCTGTCCCTCTAATTATCAGTAATCTGAACAGTCAGGATTGGTCTTAGTGCTGCAGCCCAGGATAGGGTTGGACTTTGCTGAAAGCAGGCAGGAGGAAAGAGGAAGCAGGTGGCACAGTAGCTGCAGGAGCCGAGGGGTGCCAGGATGGACTTTAGGGTGCTTAGGCAGGCTGGTTATGCCCTGTGGGAGCCAGGTAGCAGCTCAGGGTTTTGAAAGGAAAGCGAAGATAAAGAGGAGGTACTTGAGGCAGGTGAATCAGCAGACACTCAGACTGAATACGTGCAAGCATGCAGAAATAAGAAAAATGTTCTGGTCTTTTCTAAATGCAGTGAAACACCGTATCTGTTAGAAATTTAGCGCTTGTAAATTTGTTCCAAACTTTTCCCACTATTTCACCCTCTCTTTCCTCTGACCTTTACTCCCCTTTTTAAGTTTTCTTACATAGCAGCAACTCTCTGGTCTCCAGCTGTTTACATCAGGCATTTCCTCCACATTATGCAGATTGACAGATTTGTAATTGCTCTGAGACTTGTGAGCGCACTCCAGTGATTTTGACATAGGCAGCTCTGTTTATGCCCCAGCATGTAAAGTTGATGTGAAGAATAGAATATTACTATGTCTGATTACACCCCCGTATGTATTTGCTTGTCGTCAATCAGAGATAAAAAGGACAATGAAAGAGGCGACTGTAGGAGGCGACGCTCGCACTGTCATTAGGCACCATGCAGATCGTTTGACAAAACAGAGATG